GTCCATCATTGGTGCAACAACCCACCCCCCTCATGACTCAGACAAGCCACCACCAGCAACCTCCAACACCGCAACAACAGATAGTTGAAGGAGAAGGAGCGGACGAGGAGATGCTGGCAAACTCCAAGAAGAAGGCATCTGAAGCCCCTGGAACTTCCAGCCCGAAGCAACACCAGAACATGCAAACTCTATGGATAGTCCGGAACCTCCCCGGAACTTCGGGCCTGCCATGGAACTTCCGGCCTCGATGACCCCAAGGCGTGCCAACTCTCTGGATAGCCCGGAACTTCCGGCCTACCTATGCGCAGTGAGTAGGACCACGGCCCATGTACCCCTTCCGCCAACCTAGACTATAAATACTCGTCTTGTACGTCCGTTTTAGGGTTAGCAAAGCATAGATGAAGAACTAGAGAGAACTTTGCTCATATCTACCCCTCTCCTTTGGAGATCAAGGCCTCCCTTGGAGAAGAATCCCTAGTGGATCATCAAGACCTCCTCTTGTGGAGAAGAATCTCCATCGTAGGATTGTCAAACCCTCATCTCGTCTTGGATTTGAGATGAACCATACTCTTGTTCCAAATTCCCTTTGTTGGTTTGTACTCTTGTAGATCTTGTGTGATTGTTGATCTAGTGGATGTGTGATTTGGACTTGTCTTTGAGTGTTTCCTCGTGTGATTTGTGTGCTCCTATTGAATCCCCCTCCAAGTTGTGAAAGATTAGGCCATCTAGGGTCCCTACCCTACATCATACCCCCTATGTATCTCCTTCTCTGCATCCAAAATACGACTGGACTCTGCCCCCATCGCTGCTCTTCTTCAAGCTTCATGCAACGGTAAAGCTCATGACTTCTATGTTGCCCAGCTAAATGAGCTAGCCTTCCATTTCCACGCCGTCCTGGCCGAGTTTCTCCTCCAATAGGAAGAAATACACCACCGAAACTTCTACTCCTTCCAGCCAATCCCCACCACCGCCGAGCCGAGCCAACCACTCAACAGCCACACTCCTCCCAAACGCTATCTCAGCTATTGCAGATCCCTCATGATCTAGGAGGAGGATTTATCCAACACATCACTTGACTTGCTACACGACCAGTGTTGGCACTGCCCCGTTCATCCTGTCGGCGGCCCCATTTGTCCGACATTTGGGGTCGGTTGATGGTGTTCCACCGCCTCTTGGATTGACAGCTGTGACCGCCGCCTCCTCCCGCGTGAGTGGTTCAGGTCGTCAAGGTCCTGACGGCAACGTACATCCTCGCTACATTCCGCAGCACCACCATGATAGGGACCACCGTGAGAATGGGTTTCACACTGGCGATAGAGTTCACAACGGTCATGACTAGGCCTCCGGCAACGGGGACATGCTGTGGGACCTCACCCGGTCTTCGAGCCGACCGGATGGCAATTTTGGTGGGCACAGTCAACGCCCATCTCCGTCGCTGCCTCTCACGTCACACTCCCCTCTACCCGGGACCCCGCCTCTAACGCCCATGTTCAGGCACATGAAGCTGATGCGGCCAACCGTCTAGTTGTCACTGACACTAGCTTTCAGCAGGCAGTTGTGACTAGGCGCAGCGAGTTGCACACAAACCTCGACGTGGCTATCGTGCCTCTCCTAGAGGAATCCTCCACCATGCGAGAATGGATGTGTCAGGTGGCTGCTTTCATGGAGCGCACACCAGCTTTAGTCGCCGGGCTCGGCCTCTTCACACCAGTCACACATGGCGAGCTCACCGATGTCCGCAAAACTTGCACCCTCTCTGGTCTCGGCTGATGCTGACTCTTAGTGGGCCCCCAGCTTCCGCCTCTGTTGTTGGGCCGGACCTGCGCTTGGGCCTGCTGCCGCACCACCAGCCTCTCTTGGAGCCCATGGGCCGTTTGGAGATGCTCAGATAGCCCATCTGGAATGAAGCCCCGGGTAGGTGAAAGGAAAGTAGGAAATTTTAGGGCATATCGACGGATCCCTACTCCAACACTTTTAGGCCTCCAATGCAGACCTCTACTTTGGGTCAGATGCGTCTGGACGTCCGCTCCAAGGCCGTCTCCAAATCGAGGGGCAGAGTAGGGACTCTGACAGCCTGGACCCACCCATTTTGACCGCGGACAACCGCATCGCCACCCAATGGGATTTCCCTCCAGCCGCCTCGCCTTCCCAAAGATGTTCCCCACCAGCCCCTTCCCCTCTACTTTGATCCGATGCTGATCACCTCCCCTAGCCACCTAATGCACTTTGGATCAAAATCAGCAATGGCGTGGAGCAACCATCGCGATGTCTATATCATCAGGTGTCCGTCATGCCGCCGCCAAGAGCAAGCCACCGCTACCAAGGGAGAGAAGGCCACTGCAGCCCAAGCCAAGCAGGAGGAGGCGCTCGCCGCTCCACACCAAGCAGAGGTGCACTCCGCCAATCACGGCGCCCATGCAAAGGAGGAGGTGCTCGTTGCCCGTCACTTTGCCAGAGCCAAGTACGAGAAGTGCAAGGCCTGTGATGCTCACGATCGAGCGGAGCAGCAGTAGGCAATCACTAGGAAGAACCAACACGACACATGTTTTATGCTAGAGAGGAAGCCGTCGCCCCATCCGCACCAGCCGTACCAGCAGCCGCATTCGAGGATGTCCTCTTCGATGTGTCCAAGGTAGGTATCCTCCAGGGCTCCGGCCATGGTGATCATTGATTGGTTCTAGTCTATCTATTTGTCTGCCAAATGTAATGTTGAACATCTAATTTATATTGAAGATGTTGCACTCTGGGGCAATTTTGAGTGCTAGCGTGGATGGTCGGCGCCCGCCTAGCTGTCTACCCTTATTGTTCTACAAAAATAAACTGTCTACCCTTACATCCCAAAAAGCCTGCCTTGCGCATGCGCTGAGGTGGACCGCTCCCCTTTCGGGACGCGCACGAGGGCACCAATTTCTATCTCTCTCAACCCCTCTTTTCCTAGAGTGGGGCACACACATTGTGGCTTTTTTCTTAACGTTTTCTCCTTGTGCATTGAAAGTTCTTTCCAAATTTGAAATTGGATGAGTTTTATTAAGTAGGTAAGCCCCCCAAATTCAAAAGTTAATGATTTCTGAATTTTGGAAGTTCAAAAATTCTGAAAATTCATTTTTTTCAGAAGTTCAAATTTGAAATTTCTGAAAGTTTAAAATCCCGAAAGTTGAGTCCAGATTTTTCTGAACGGAAAATCTAAGGGCAGCATCAAGTTCAATTTTACTTATGCATCCTTGTCTTCCCATGTTGCGGCATCCCATTGGCATTTTTTCCTAATAGAGAGCAAAGGCATGCATGCATTAATCTCCCACCTAACACTTACATCATTGCATTAATTGCTAAGTTCCAATTTTCAAGATCATTTATCTCACAAACTGTTAATCTGGTTAGCCTTCTTCACCAGTGAGTTCGTCTCGACGAGGCCATCAAAACAAGATCCCATGTTGTTGTTAAGCTTCATGCACTAGCCAACGCAACCAAAAGTCTGAACTGATGGGAAGGGCTAGTGCAATCCACATATACTGTAACACCCCCTCTCACGTGTGACAGGGAAGGCAAGTCAACACATGCAACCGGAAGAGAGCGACAGCGCGCGAAACTCATGTATGACTTAAGAGGCCTCTTCATGGACACAAAGGGGGGCTACCAGCAATTTTTAATAAATTGTGAAAGCCAGGACTTGAACTCAAGACCTTAGCTCTGATACCATGTTAAGCTTCATGCACTAGCCAACGCAACCAAAAGTCTGAACTGATGGAAAGGGCTAGTGCAATCCACATATACTGTAACAGTTGTCATGTTTCGGTGGAAAAAATTAGTCGGCACTAGTTCTCAGGGTATGTCAACATAGTTGGCATGTTAGCAGTGAACAGTTGTCACGATAATTATGTACATTTACCAGGCAATAGTTGTGTGTGTTTTTATACAATGCAACGTTTACGCATAGCAAGAGAGTTAGTTTTCAGGTGTTACCAACAAAAGAGGGCGGCATCAACCCACACAAGTACCATGAAGCAATATCTATACAGGTGTGTATTGAAGTTTTACTAACCTGGCAAGTACTCGCAACTAAGTGGCAATAACCTGGCAAGTACCTAAGTGACAAGAATCTGGCAAGTACTAACGAAAAAAAGTTGTCAAAACATGCTGACATGGGAGGATCATCAATCGGCTTAATGGTTTAAGAGATAACTTTTCTGAAAGGTTAAACATGCATTTTCTGGAAGTTACCAGAACAAGAAAGTTGCAATATACAGAAAGTGCCAAATGTAGAAAGTTGCTAAAACGGGAAAAATTTGTGTCTGAAACCGACCACACTTCTTCTGGTGGGCGGTTGACCGACAACCCCCTTTACAGAAAATCAGGCCAGCTAAATTGGCCAATTTATCCTCCGGAATTGATGTGAAGGATGTAGGACTTGTGAAAATTAACCCGAAGCCAACAGATCGACCAAAGCTTTCCAGAAGGCATTTGAGACATAGAAGTTGAACAGAACATGTTTGCATCACAAAACAATAGGGAAGTCCTCACCGAAATGCAGAAGATCGAGGTACAAAGCCTTGCTGGTAATTGCTTGCAGAAGATCAGCAGCACACGAAGACAAGGGGAGAAAGAGGTCCCCCCTTACCTAAAGCCATGCTGGCAAAATTTCTTGCTGGCAACACCATTAAGAAGCACAGCAAAAGTGCAAGAGCTGAGGAGAGAGTTGATCCATCCAATCCTCAAAGCCATAGTTGTTAAGCATGGAGATGATCGTGTAGTGTTCCACCGTGTCAAAAGATTTTTCAAAGTCGAGCTTAAAAACGACAATGTTGTTGACGTGTACATGTGGATTGCCTAGCCTTTCCATCAGTTCGGACTGTTGTGTTGGCTAGTGCATGAAGCTTAACATGGTATCAGAGCTAAGGTCTTGAGTTCAAGTCCTGGCTTTCGCAATTTATCTAAAAATTGCTGCTGCCCCCCTTTGTGTCCACGTATAGGCCTCTTGAGCCATACCTCTTGAATCTATCCACGTGTTGACTTCCCGCGTCACACGTGAGAGGGGGTGTTAATGTGTATATGTGGATTGCCTAGCCCTTTCTATCAGTTCAGACTTTTGGTTGCGTTGGCTAGTGCATGAAGCTTAACAAATGTATGTCTTAGACTGATGACACTTGTGAAGGAATTCGAAGCTCCGCGCGAGGCAGTCTTTGATCATGCAACATTTAATGAAACCAGAGAGAGAATGACTTTCTAAAGGCAATTGGAACAAATTTTAGTGATAAGCTTAATACAAGAATTCAGGAGGGAGATAGGGAGATAAACACCGCGACCCTCAGAGTTGGAATTTTTTGGAACAAGGGTGATGAAGGAATCATCAATACTTTGCAGGTTGACCGACCCATCAAAGAAGTCTTGGACTAGTTTATTAAAGTCATTTTTTATAATATCCCAATATTTTTTGGTGAAGAGACCGTTACAACCATCAACTGGATTGCTAGCAAACCGCACAATAAGTTTCCTCAAACAAGAAAGACAGAGAGAGCCTCAAGATCATCAATCTGCTGAACAATGGTGCTAAGATCAAAATAATAGTAATCCCCATGAGGTTGGAAAAGGTAGAGCAAATGATGGCCGCCTTCCCCTCATGGTCACAAACAGGAGCTGGCACTGTTAATAAGGGTGAGAATTTGATCGTCTTATGTGCTTACCTCAAACATCGCATCAACTTTTCCACACTTTGCACAAGTTGATATCAATGTGGTGTAAAGTTTACAATCGGGTTTTAGCCCAGCCTCCTTTAGGAGCACCATAACTTGGAGGGCCCCTGTAAAGGTAAAACCATTTGGTCATACTCAATTCTCATCTTCTACTCGAGCACATCTGACAAGAAAAGCTGATGAGTTACCTTCAAAATCTTTTGAATTAGCACAAACCGATAAAAGCATATTGAAGGTGCTCATTTTCGGATTTTCAATCAATCGGCAGAAGCGAACAGCTTCCATAACAGCCCTTTGTTTTTTACATGCACTCAAAAAGCTGGCATGGTGGATCTAAGAAACAGATGTAAATGAGAAATTTGAAGAGTACATTACAAAAGCTAAACCGTAACAGGTAATTAATCACCTTCTTCGTATCAAGCAATCCCTTCTGCTCCATGCTTTCCAACAAATCCACACAGTCCTTCAACCTGACAATACCAAATTGATGTGTCAACTGAAAAACTGATATGTGGAAAGATTACATTTGAATGGATATAACATACAGTAACTTAAGGCCTGCTCTGGGACAATATGTTAAAATCATCTACCAAATATTATACCTTCCATCTGTTAAAGAACTCTTGTATCGCCTCATGTAATCTGATGTATCCACTGTGCCGTTTATTCCAGCTGTTGTCGCTGGAATGAATTTATCTAGATTCTCTTTGTTCAGTATATCAGAAATACTCCAGCCAATAGTTTTTGCATCATCATGGTCTTTCACTGCTTTCTGTTGTTTGCTGGCAGGACCCTCCCTTAAGCATGCAAATAGAGCTAATTTCCCTGAATATAGAGTATGCTCATAAGGAAAGGGAAGAAATCACGGATATCAGCAGAAGTGCCAAGAAGAGTGCTTAAATTCCAAAGTTAAACCTGGTGTCAGATGAGAGCCCCCTACATATGAATCAGCAAACTCAATTGCTTTTCTTGGTCTGAACAAATTTCCAATACTGGCTTGCGGAACAAAATTGAGAGGGCATTCCACTGTTCTTTTGAAGGATGAAAGAGATGTCAAATCAATATTTTCATCATCATTACTCTGATGGCATCGAAGTAAATGAGCATTGTTGCTGTTTGTTTGGCTGTCACCAAGACCATTGCCATTTTGAGCATCTTTCTGTAGTTCTGAAAGGGATAAAAATTGGTATGAGAGCCCACCTTGCCAGCCAATTCTGTTAGAGACATACTTGCTTTTATGTTGTCCTGGTGGACCGGAATAAGACGTTGCAAGAACATCCATAACTTTTTTTGTAGAATTTCTTTTTTCTGCTGAAGTTGAGCAACCAACTTCTTCTTGCCGAGATACATCAACTAATGTGTGTAACATTGCCCCTGGATTAGTTACAGAAACCGCCTGTGTTGTCTTATTTACAGGATATATGCACGAAATACTAGCCCGGCACTCCAATTCATTAATAATCATTCCTTCAGAAATAGATAGCTCTGAAAAGCTATTTTCATGAGTTGCACAACATGCATCATTACTATCATGTACGGATTGGGTTGTTGTTCCGAGGGCCTTGTTTACATTGCTTTTGACCTGTGTATGTAAAACCTGACAAATATTGAAGATGACTGCAAGTTAGAAAACAACTACCAGACACAGTGAATCACATTTCATTCGTCAAATTAAGACTAATAACAACAACAACAACAACAACAACAAGATCTCGAAACCTAGTTATGGTTCTGGCACGTGGATAGCTAACTTTTACGCACCACTGTCCATGGCTAGTTCTTTGGTGATATTCCAGTCCTTTAGATCACTCTTTATGGACTCCTCCCATGTCAAGTTTGGTCTACCCTGACCTCTCTTGACATTATCATCACGCTTTAGCCGTCCGCTATGCACTGGAGCTTCTGGAGGCCTATGCTGAATATGCCCAAACCATCTCAGACGATGTTGGAAGCTTCTCTTCAATCGGTGCTACCCCAACTCTATCCTGTATATCATCATTCCGGACCCAATCCTTTCTTGTGTGGCCACACATCCATCTCAACATGCGCATCTCCGCTACACCTAACTGTTGAACATGTCGCCTTTTAGTCGGCCAACACTCAGTGTCATACAACATGGCGGGTTGAATAGCCCAGAAGCTTGGCACCACTTCATCCACCCGGCTTTCATTTGATGGCTCACATCTTTATCGATATCACCATACTTCTGCAGCATTGACCCCAAATATCGAAAGGTATCCTCCTGAGGTACCACCTGCCCATCAAGGTTAACCTCCTCCTCGTGCCTAGTAGTACTGAAACCGCACCTCATGTACTCAGTTTTAGTTCTACTAAGCCTAAAACTTTTCCATTCCAAGGTTTGTCTCCATAGCTCTAACTTTCTATTAACCCCCCGTCCGACTATCATCGACTAGCACCACATCATCCGCAAAGAGCATACACCATGGGATATCTCCTTGTATATCCCTTGTGAGGCATCCATCACCAAAGCAAAAAAGATAAGGGCTCAAAGCTGACCTCATTCAATCAATGAACACAATTTCATTTTATTTGTGAGAAATAGCAAGCAATGCTAATTTTCAAGGATACATCTATGGTAGACGTATCAGTAACATAGAAGAGAAATGCCAAGATGGCTACATCGTCATTTTGCAAGCAACACGATGACCACACCACGGCCCAAAACTCCTCATGCTGATTACTCGCTATCCGACAACGCTGAATGATGGATAATGCAAGTGATTAGGCTTTCAGTAATTTTATAAGCCTATGCCGATTCGAGAAGCATGATGAGGATAGTCTTGCCAATTGTAAATCTTACCAATGACTCTAATATCCCTAAGCTTAACTAACGGACTCTCGTTATGGAAGGGCTTAATGGGAGTAAAAGACACTTCTATACAACTGGGCTCGTTTAGTGTGGAGAATAGTGAATAATTGAGATTTGGGGAGGATAAACGTATCGGGGACATGCAGTTTTCAGATATGTACCCAAAGCTATTCCGCACAGTTGCCTCTGTCATTGGAGTGCCTAATCCGCTGATTGATTTCCGTCAGGCTCTCATTCGCCAAAATTTAATAAACTGAAATGAGATCGTACTGAGAGTTCTAGGGATGCAACTAACTCTGGAACAGGACCCTTTAGGTGGGATCTTCTTCAGACAGACAAGGGTGTTTTCTGTATACTTCATATATGCGGCACTAATGGATATGTGGTCAGGTTCCGATGAAAACGGAAATCAAAGTATTCATCTGGTTTCTTTGCAGACAAGTAGTCCTTATGAAGGACAAATTGGTTAAGCGCAAATGACAAGGGGGCACTCATTGTAGTTTTTATTACAAATAGAAAAGTATACAACATTTTTTACTTGATCGCAGTTTGGCACAAATTGCACGGCATGCTGTGTAGTGAGCCTTTAATATCACACCACATTGTAGTAGTATTTCTAATATATTTGGCTCTTGGTTACAGGGGGGTGACAAATCTCTAGGAACACTAATTGTGGCCGGGGGTTACAATGGTGTTTTGGTCTATTTGGCTATGCAGAATTGATTTTATTTTTGACAAAAAGAAAGTTCAATGTTGTATGCAGGTGCTACTCTCGTGTACCAGTTGGCTACAGTCATGGGCGTTGTTATAGAAGGTGCAACATAAGGAGCTGATGTGGCTTCACGTCAAGCAGCTCACATAGATTACCAGGGAGTTTATGTCCCGGTTCGGATGGCATGCGACTGATAGGCTCCTTAGTCATTAGAGTTGTCTTGATTTACATGTTTCTACCAACTGTAGTTGGGATGTTTCATTGTCTTGGTTTTACCGTTTCTGGCGAGGCCATTGTTTGGTAAATTTATAATAAACATGTAATAATTGGGCTGTATGCATATCGGATGTAGAGGTCGGGGTAATAAAGCTTCCATTATCTCCAAAAATATCCCTAAGTCTTCAATCAAGGGATAGCAACTGGTCTAATGCCTTAACCTCAGAATTACCAATATCTATAGAAAAAGGAATCAGCACTGGCAAATTTGGATCCAGCCTTTGGACTTAAGACATTACCGATAGCATTGACATCACCAACACTTGTCCCCAATAAACTTTCCTGTCTTCGAGGAGTAAACATCGGAAAACTAAAATTTCTCGAATTGCACTTAGATGGCCCAGAACTGGCATCTTTCTAATATGGATGTAATTGGTTTTAAAGTCAAGAAAATTCTATTTATTCTGTTAAAAAATACGACCACTTGTGTACTGTACAGAAAACACACTTATATTAGAAAAAATGGGTACAATCTTTTCTCTTTCTTGTATGATCGTGTCTTTGTACAAAAATTTACATGCACTTTGATGCTCTAGTCTCTGAATGCTTTGGAGAATTAGCAAATCCGTCTTATTTAATGTGCATGCGCGATAATCTAAGTTACGGTGCATATGCATATATACTAAAGAGGAGCCTGAGTTCAATTCAAATCATTCTTCAAAGAGCAGAACTAAGGTAAGAGGGATAAAACTAGTATCAAGAAGAAGCACACCTCCGGAGATTCCCTATGCATTGCGCCGCGCCACCTGAGCCAAACCAGCTGTAAGGCGGCGAGGAGAGCGGCCGCGGCGACCACCGAGCCGCCTAACACGTCCAGCGCAGTGGAGGACGAGCCGCTGAGAGAGCATGCCACCGGGCGGCGGGCACGGTACCTCAGCTCCAGCCTCCGTTGAGGCGGAGGCCGCAGCAGGAGCCCTCCCCCGCCGGCGCGGCCGTGCCGGCGGGCGGAAGGGTAAAGAGAGAGGAAGCAAGGGGGGGAAGTGAGTAGGGTGAGAGCTTGAGGCGTAGAGGCGGAGGCGGAGACCTCCATGGGGAACGGGGAAGGAGCAGAGGAGAATGGCGGGGTTTAGGATCGAGGATGATGATGAGATGATGAGTTTTATCCGGAGTTTGCGAGGCGCTCCGCGTCTGTGGTGCGGAGGAAGTCTTTCAAATTAGTCCAAGGCGACCCATTTTTCTTTTTAACAACGACATTCTTTGTTGAATTTGTTGGTTTATTAATAGCCTCCATGAGTGTGAAGGCCCCACTCAGATTAGCCACAATGAAGAGTAACATACACTAGTACATACACATATTCCTAGAATATGTTACTATCTTCATAGTGGATAGTAACATAGGTGTGGTGTCATGCAAAGCTCCATTTATTAGGTTATAGACTCATACTGCATTGGGACATGTGATGTTACAGTAACTAGCTAAGTTACTAGATTACCCCTCTCTTCATTAACTCATTGTCACACAGACAAATTTGCTGAGTTGGACTTGAAGTTATTGCTGAAGTTACTCCCATTGTGGCTAGTCTCAGTATCCGCCATTCATAAAATATATTTACTATCGTTATAAAGGCTACTCAAGGTAATTAGAGCTGACGATAAAAGCCTCAATTTCACCTCTTTGTAATTAATAGGAGAATAATAATGAACTCTTGACGAGGCTGCATCCACCATAGTGAACACTGGCTTTGTAATTAATAGGAGAATAATAAATAACTCTTGGCGAGGCCGCGTCCACCTTAGTGAGGACTGGCGTGTAAGTACAGTAATGACGTGTGTGGTACGAAGTGTTGGAAATATTAGCACTTTTCCGATTAGACTAATCCACGAGTAAACAGTAAGCATGGCATAAAGGGTATACATCTCATAGCGATACCTAAATATACTAGCACATACAGAACATAGAAGCGAACCATCTATGAGCAGCACATATACGGCTAGCATAAGTACGAGTAAACGAGGGATGGACAGATCATACCCTTCGGTTGACCAGGCCAACGCGGTGGCGGCGGCGGCAGCCTCGGCGTCGTCCATGGCCTTCTTCTTGGTGGCGGCGCCATCGACCATGGTGTCGATGCAGGAGAAATAGTGGAAGCAGAGGCGAATAGAGCTGGGGACGGATCGGGAGCAGTTGCGCCGAGACGCTCCCCAAAAATATTATTGCCGTTCTCCCGGGCAGGATCTCGAACGACAGGGTTTCGGAGGCACCTACTCTCTCGACCAACCGTGCACGCGCTCGTCGGGATGGGATCGCGGGAAGCAACATAGTGAGAGGAACAGTAGATGACGGCTAGGGTTGTGCGAGAGGCAGTGAGTGAACTGAGTTAGGGTTCACTCCACTGGCCAGCGTCTTCTTATATAGGCCGTCGGGTAGATGGGCCCGGGCTCAGGCCCACGACCGAGTCTGCGAACAACCCACGGTTCAACGTCTCGGACAATGGTACTTTCGTAAGCGACTCGTTAATTAATCTGAGATTAATTAACCATTTCTGACCGGCAAAAATATGCTTCGGCTCGGCTCATTTCCACAACTCGCAGCGCGCGCGTCGTGACGGGGCGGGGCGAGGCGGGCGACGAAGGAGGAGGAGCGTGCATGTACAACTCCTATTCCCAAGCTCCTAATAGCAAGTGATGGAGCGGCCCTTTATAAAGAAGTCTCACTCTTCTTACTGTAGCAGTATGGTACTAAACTTCCCACACTTCCCACCACTTGACATACACATGCATGGGCTTTAGAGATTAACCAGGGATTATTGTCTTATATGGGACTAAGACCATCCATAATCCAACAATCCCCCACCAGATCTCGGGGCACATAAGTTTGTCAATTGTTCCAAACAATCTTTGATATATCAGAATTTTCAGTGAAGACTGTTAAGTTGAACTTCCATCTAGAGCAATGGGATTAGACTTATTCAGAACTGGACAATGGACTATGTCTTGAATTGTCAGTTTGGCGTATAGAATGTTCGCCCCTTGTGAGCTGGTACGAGGTTGCCGAAGGCTAAACCCCACGGGTAAAGCTTATTAGTCATACTTCGTGCCTTCTCATGAGCTTCCTAGAGATCACCCAATCTCATAGACGGTGACCAGCAGTCGGGCTCACATAGGTGTGTTTCTTTAAAGAATGCTATGTTGGTTAGCATCTTGCTTACATAAGCTTTGGAACACATTAAGACAAAAGTTAGCCTGCCTTACAGAATTGAGAGTATTATTGCATCTCCAACGAAGTGGGTTAATTGAGGACACTCTCCTCAGTTGACCGTTGGATTGTTTTGTTGGGGAACGTAGTATGCAATTTCAAAAAAATTCCTACGATCACGCAAGATCTATATAGGAGATGCATAGAAACTAAAGGGGAGAGTGTGTCCACGTACCCTCGTAGACCGAAAGCAGAAGCGTTAGGTTAACGCGGTTGATGTAGTTGAACGTCTTCACGATCCAATTGATCCAAATACCGAACGTACGACACCTCCTTGTTCAGCACACGTTCAGCACGATGACGTTCCTCGAGCTCTTGATCCAGTAGAGGGTTGAGGGAGAGTTTCATCAGCACGACGGCGTGGTGACGGTGTTGATAATGTGATCCGCGCAGGGCTTCGTCTAAGCACTACGACCAAATGACCGAGGTGGTAAACTGTGAAGGGGGGCACCACACATGGCTAAGAAACAATTGATGTGCCTTTGGGATGCCCCCTGGCCACATATATAAAGGAGGGGGGAGAGAGGCCGACATCTAGGAGGGGCATGCCAGGGGGGAGTCCACCTTGGACTCCCAGTCCAAGTAGGATTCGGCCCCCTCCTTTTCCTTTGTTCCACCGGAGGGAATAGGAAGGAGAGGGAGAGGGAAAGGGAAGGGGGCGCCGCCCCTCCTCCTTGTCCTATTTGGACTCCCAAGGAGGGGGGCGCGCGGCCACCCCACGCGGGCTTCCCTCTCTCTCCCTTAGGCCCATGTTGGCCCAATACTTCCCCGGGGATTCCGGTAACCCCCCGGTACTCCGGAAAAATACTCGAATAACTTGGAACCATTTCAATGTCTGAATATAACCTTCTAATATATGAATCTTTACCTCTCGACCATTTCGAGACTCCTCGTCATGTCCGTGATCTCATCCGGGACTCCGAACAAACTCCGGTCACCAAAACACATAACTCATAATACAAATCATCATCGAACATTAAGCGCGCGCGGACCCTACGGGTTCGAGAACTATGTAGACATGACCGAGACACATCTCCGGTCAATAACCAATAGCGGAACCTGTATGCTCATATTGGCTCCTACATATTCTACGAAGATCTTTGTCGGTCAAACCGCATAACAATATACGTCATTCCCTTTGTCGTCGGTATGTTACTTGCCCGCGATTCGATTGTCGGTATCATCATACCTAGTTCAATCTCGTTACCGGCAAGTCTCTTTACTTGTTCCGTAATGCATCATCCCGCAACTAACTCATTAGTCACATTGCTTGCAAGGCTTATAGTGATGTGCATTATCGAGAGGGCCCAAAGATACCTCTCCGATACACAGAGTGACAAATCCTGATATTGATCAATGCCAACTCAACAAACACCTTCGGAGACACCTTGATGTAGGGTGGAACCCTAGATGGCCGATCTTTCACAAAAGGAGCGGATCCCTACGAGGAACACGAAGAACACGAGGAGGAAAACGAGGGGAAACACAAGAGAAACACTCAACCAACAAGAAATAGATCATACATGTGCTAGATTCCCGAAACACAAACAGATACACGATGATCCAAGGTCAACAAAGGACGATACAAGTAACCGGTTCTTCTCCTAGAAGGAGGTCTTGATGGGGCCGCCCAAGAGGGGGTCTTGAATCCAAGTTGATCTTCTCCGAAGAGGGGCCGCAGTCTCTCTCGAGGAGGAGATCTGTATGGATGAGCGAAGCTCTATCTCGAAATATGAGCTAAACCAACGCTAACCCTAGCTAGGATAAATGGGGGGGGGTCTATTTATAGTCTAAGTGCAAAAGGGGCAAAGTGAAGGGGTACATGGGCCTCGGGCCCGAATCTGGACGCAGCCAGGTGCCGGACGTCCGCTGGGGACCGGTCGTCCGGTGTCTCAGGAGCTGCCAGACGTCCGGTGTCCTTCGGTCGTCCGCTGGTTCTGCTCTGTGATGGGGGCACTGGACGTCCAGAGGCTCCGGACTTCCGCTGATGTTGCCTCGGTGCTGGTGCACCGGTCGTTCGGTCCAGACCGGACGTTCGCTTGTTCGCTTCGGGTGCAGGGGCATCGGTCGTCCGGTCCGGGCCGGACGTCCGCTGGCTGGAGCTCGGCTGACGCTTTAGGCGTCGGACGTCCGGTCCCGGCCGGTCGTCCGATGGCTGGGAAATTTCCTGCAGCTCTTCTTCTTCTCCGTCTTCTCGTCCATCTTCCTCTTCTTCTTGTCCTTGCTCCTTAGATTCTCCATTGTACCTGAGTATGCATAATGTATCCATATGAGGTAGTAGCCATGCTTCATGCGCATCGGAGTGGAATTGTGAGAGGAGAGATGTCACCTCGGTTTCAAGGGCTCTTGCACGTGATCGAGTCATGGGCCCGGTAGGCACTTGGTGAGACGATGGTAGGTCCATGGGGATGACCTTGGGATGCTCCGCATCATCTCCCCTCCCTTGGGGAAGATCCGTCCTCGGATCAAAATCTTCATCACCATGGAAAGGAGAGAGATCTTTGACGTTGAAGATGTCGCTCACGTTGTACTTGTCGCGTGGAAGTTCGATCTTGTAAGCGTTGTCGTTGTAGCGTGAAAGCACCTTGAAGGGTCCATCCGCTCGTGGACGAAGCTTGGATTTGCGTTCTTGTGGGAAGCGGTCCTTGCGAAGGTGTAGCCACACTTGATCACCAATGTTGAAGACCATAGGTTGCTTGTTCAAGTTGAGCTTGGTCGCAAGGCGTTGAACTTGGCGCTCAATGGTGTTTCTTGTATCTTCATGCATCTTCTTGAGATGTGTCACACGCGCACTTGCATCCAAATTGATGCGCTCTTGTAGTCGTAGGGGAAGA